CACTCCAGTGACAGTGACGGACTCTGTGCCTCTCTGATTCGATGGCTGTAGGTCGCCCTGTGCACCAGTGTCCCCCAGAGCTCTGTACTCTGTGGTTCAGATGTGCCAGGCCGTTGAATCCACACAGTCCAGCAGAGCCGTGGGGCTGGGGGCCGTGGGCCCAGCACCCTGCTGCTGACTGCCACACCGGTGACTGCAGGGCACTCGTTTGGTTCTCAGCATCTCTGAAGGCTCCGTTTCATTCTCTTACAGGGCGCTGAAGGAACCCAAAGAACTGAATTTTATCTTTGGGGTGAATATTGAGCGGCGTGAATTGGATGGCATGTTCATTTATAACTGCAGTCGACTGATAAAGATGTATGAGAAGGTGGGCCCGCAGCTGGAGGGTGGCATGTGAGTTCCTGGAGATTTTTCAGCAGTCTCTTTGCTTAAGCCTGGCATGTACCTATGTATAACTTGGCTGTTCAATAACCTTGTCCTGCATTAATCATTCTGCACAAGCCTGAGGCTTACTCATTTTGTCAGCCTTTAGTTTGGATTCTGACAAATAAATTGTATTTACTCTGTGAATAATTTACTCCGTGAATAAATTGTGTTACTCTGTGAGGAAACCAGTGTTTCCCTGGTTTCCTCACAGAGTTCTCTACACTGATTTTGGTCATACCTGCAAGACTTATGAGGCTTTTATGCTCAGTGCTAGCATTTGGGGCTGATGATTACTGGTAGCAATACCACCTCATTCTAGGCACAAGGAGAATAAGTTGTGAAAGTAAATTCAAATACTTGAGCCCACCTTGCTTTTTGTATGCCAGCTCGAGTCTGATATAGAAAGCTAATAAATTAAAACTAGTACTGCTGCAGGAATGGGTAAGTGATTGAATGGGTGGGCAATCTGCTATTTTCAGTCTTATTTCTCTGAACAATGGTAGTTTAATGGTGTTTGTGACTGTGTCCCACTCTTCCAGGGCATGTGGTGGAGTGGTAGGCGTGGTGGATGTGCCCTATTTGGTTCTGGAGCCAACCCATAATAAACAAGACTTCGCTGATGCCAAAGAGTATCGACACTTGCTGAAGGCCATGGGAGAGCACTTGGCACAGTACTGGAAGGATATTGCTGTAGGTAGGTGATGAAGCTTCACGATTACCAGGGGCTGGAAGGAGAAACTTTGGTGGCAGGAAGGCAGTGAAGGGGGAGGGCAGCCAGGAGTGCAGGCAGTGATTCCGGTGCTAATGGCTCCACACTGAGCAATGGTTGTTTGTTTTCCAGCCCAGAGAGGTATCATTAAGTTCTGGGATGAATTTGGTTATTTGTCAGCAAACTGGAACCAGCCTCCGTCTAGTGAGCTGTGCTACAAGCGCCGGAGAGCCATGGAGATCCCTACCACAATTCAGTGCGGTGTGTACCACCAGGCTGTGAGGAGGAGGCTGCTCCTCCCTGGGGAGCGGGGAGGACTCCTTGTTGCAGCTGGGGAGCAGCTGAGAGGGGAGGAGATCTGTGATGAGCCTCGCTGTCCTTTCGCCTTGGCTCCTTCTGTGAGTTGCCTGTGTGGGCACTTGATGGTACACATGGACATCGTGCTGTAAGGTTCCTCTGCTGCACGTGCTTACAACCATGGTGTTCTTCAGGTGCCCCTACAGAACAGGGCAGGTGTGGCCAGTAGCAGTGCAGAGAATGGGCTTACAAGTGTCATAAGAACTGGAACTGGCCAAAGCCACCCATCCCACCAGTAGAATAAGATCTGGAAACTTCCCCATAGGCAGTGGGAAGTGGCCAAGTAGTTTGTATTCTGATGCACTGTGCTGCTCCTGGGTGCTGTGTGTGAGCACAGAAGGGAATCATGTACAGTCAACTTTCAAATTTAATGTGAGTTCTCTTCTGTGCATTTCTAAACAGCTCTGGCTGAGCCCTTAGTTGGGATAAAGCACATCTCAACACAACCACTTTGTCTTTTGTTAGAGAGACACCAAACTCCCTCCACCTCGTTTTCCCCACAGGACTTGGGGATGAGGATGGAGTAAGGAATGTGAGGCCAATCTTATGAAATTATTTTGTTGAGCTCTCTCGCCTTGATGACTTTCTCAGTCCTGTCCAAGTTCTTCCCAAAGAGGAGGGGTTTTCCTGTCATTCTTCCTGTCCTCCATTGTTGACGTCCTTCTAAAGCCTGATTTAAAAACATTTGCATTTTCTTGGCAAAACTTGATTTTTTTAAACTGTTGATTTCCTGGTAGGCCTGCAGTGCTCTGGAAGCCAAATCTGTCTTCCTGGTTCATCTAAAATTTATTAGATTATTGTAACTTTTTTTTTCTTAGTAGCTAAATCTCTGACTTGTTTTGTGTCTATGGGTAAGAGGCAACCTCACTCCTGAGATGAACAGTGATTTCAGCACTGGCTGTTCAGTTTGGTTTGTATGTGTTGTCCTTGCAGCAGTGAGTGTGAGGTCCTCTAGTTCTTGCCAGGCTTCATGTTGTGGATATCTTGTACAAGATTTGGAGTCTTCCTCCAAGCATTTTGTGGTCATGAAGCAAGAACTGATTCAGTATATCCTGTGGCTGTCTCACCGTTTTTTTTTTTCCTTTGGCCACTAGTCATTATCACCGGATATACTTTGGAAATTTGTGCGGTCATTGGGCACAAAATGGGCTTGAGAAGTGCTATGGAAGAAAGTGATTTTGTGGCTCAGGCTGTGTATTTCTGACCTGCAAAGTGTTTGTCTCACAGATGTGTGTCTGAAGTGGAGGACTCTCCCATTCCAGCTGAATTCAGTGGATAAGAATTACCCTGATACCTGGGTGTGCTCTATGAACCCTGATCCTGAACAAGACAGGTAAGAAACACTTAATACAAAGACTTTACTGCAGTGTGACTTAACTGCATTTTTTTTTTCATGATCATCTGTTCTTTAAGAACATTGGAGGGATAGGCAATAGTTCTGTACCTTTAAAATGTGCTCCCAGTCTGTGAAGAAGCAGTGATTTGTAGATAGGATTTTGGAGCCAGCACGGTGGTGGGCATTGGTGCAATATAAGAACTGCAGAGTGCACCCTCAGCAAGTTTGCAGATGATACCAAACTGGGAGTGGCTGATAGCCAGGGGGTCATGCATCCATCCAAAGGGATCTGCACGTGCTTGAGATGGACCAACAGGAACAGCATGAAGTTCAGCCAAAAGTGCAAAGTCCATGCAGTCCCCATGCTCTGACCATGGGGAGGAACAACCTCAGGCACCAGTATATGCTGGTCTGCCTGGAGCAGAAGAGGCTCAAAGGGAACTCATTAATGTGTGTGTTTCTGAAGGCACTCCACAAAGAGGGCAGAGCCTGCCTCTTCTCAGTGGTGCCCAGTGGCAGGACCAGAGGCAACGGGCACAAGCCAGAACACAGGAGGTTCCCTGTGAACACAAGAAACACTTTTTCCCTGTGAGGGTGCCTGAACACTGTCGCAGGTTGCCCAGGGAGGTTGTACAGTCTCCATCCTTGGAGATATTCTGGGACGTGGTCCTGGGCAACCAGCTTTGGTGGCCCTGCATGAGCAGGGCATTGGACTAGATGACCTCCAGGGGCCCCTCCAGCCTCAGTGAGTGAGTTGGTGTAATTAAGTTCCTTTTTGGTCACTGCCACGGGAAATACGATTGTAGCCTTAGTTTATGCATGTTAATTTTAATGTAGGTGGCATGGACAGGAGCTGAAGAATAGTCACAAGTGCAAGCTGGAAGGGATGTGTACAATGTGGTCTTTGCAGTTGTCTTTATTACTACTATAGCTCCAACCCACTAGACATGCAAACTGCAGCAACACCTCTGAGTGGCAGTGAGCTGAAGAATGGCATTTTGCACACTTGAACGAGCAACACATGGATTAATCTCCCAGCAGTATGTTTGCATTATAAAATTTAGGTAGAATCCAGTGATTTATTTGAATAAGGAAGAGGAGTGCTCCAGACTGCTGCTTCTCAGTGGCGAGAGATGCTACTAGAAGCTGATTCTTGTCTTTGTTGTGTAACTAGGGAAGCTGTTCAGCTGTAATCCAGGTGCCTTGGCTCAGTGCTTGAAAACAAAGGGAACGAATCTAGGTGGTAACTTTTAGTTGGAATAAAAATGTCAACATCTATGGCTGAAAAGGATACAAAGAAGTGTTGATGTTGCTATTGTAAAGTGTTGATGTTCTTGCTGCTTTCTTTTGGCACCGATGAGGAATACCAGTGCTCATTTCCCTGTTCTTCCATGTCTTTGTGCCCTGGTGTAGAGCTACAAAGAGTGTGGTTTAGCTGAGGATGTCCTGCAATTAAACTGCTGAATCTGCAAGCCTCAGAAGAGGCTGCAGCCCCCCGGGTGGGTGCAGCAGTGAGGCAAGGAGGCTGTGTGCAGATAGACAGACAGGCAATGCACATGTGCACATCTGGCCACAGATCAACACAGGTGGACACGTGCAGCAGCTCACACAGACTGCACCATCTCCCTCTGGGCTGACCAGGACAAAGGGCTGCCAGTGGAAATGTCTGGCCCCTGGATCCCAGTCCCTCTGGTTACTTGCACTGGGGTAGATAAGCCCTGAGGCCTGTAGCCCCAGAGTGTGAGAGGTACAGACCACCTCACACAGAGACAGGTAACACAGACACACAACAGACAGCCCCAGTCTCACCTGGCACACGTTCTCCATCCTGCAGTGGATTTGGATCCTTGCTCTTCCTGGGTGCCCTCTGCCTAGAGGCACACCCAGCTCTGCCTGCACCCCAACACCAGTGTCCAGCAGCCGGGCAGGACCCCCCAGTCCCTCCACTGGTCAGCTCCCATGGGCTCGCCCTGGGATACCCCTTCCCCTTGCCCCCAGCCCACCTCCCCTGGGCCAACGCTGGCCGTGAGGCCCCGGTTCCTGTGCACCCCTGTGGCTGGTGGCAGCCAGACCTGCAGGCCCTGCACACACCATGTGCAGCCCAGAGCCCTTGCCCAGGAAACCAGCTGGGAAGAGAGCTTGGTACAGAGACAAGGCTGTGGACCAGCCAACTGTCTGTGTACGATTGACCCTTTTTAGGCTTTCATTTCTCTATTTTCCCATGTTTCTTCCTACCCAAATTGTCTCAGTCCCTTCCTTTACCTGCTTTTGGTTCCTCCCATTGGTCCAAAAGTTGCTCTGGAAAGCTCCTCACATTAACTGGTCATGGGCTGAGTGTGCCCTGGACAGCCCTGGCAGGAGCCCAGAGGCTCTGTTCCTCTGAGTACCTCATCTGCATTCTCTGAGCTGCCTTTGGACCTCTGGGCTTGTGGAAATGGGCCTTGGATGGGCTATGGTGGCTCCTGGGATGGCCTGGGAGTAGCCAGGGAGGGGTGTTACTCAGGTTCCCCCACTTGCTCTTGTCTTTCTGCTCTTCTGTGTATGTGCAGACAAGGTTTATTTTTTTTTTATCATGTAACCTAACAGGGACTCGATTTACTAAGGAAAGGATTTCAATTTTTTTATTTGTGGTACCTTGAAAATTTGAGGGGTTTGGCTGGGTTTCACGAATGAACATATTGGGAGATTGGTTGGAGTGAGTCAGAGCACCTGCACAGCATTCACACATGTGGTGTTGTCCCACATCCTCCTTGCAGGGAGGTGGGAAAGGGCAGGTGAAATGCTTTGGACAAGTGATCCAAACTCCTGATCATTTCAGTTCTTTCAAAAGGGATCTCAAGAATCTTACTCTGGGAGGTTAAATAATTCTAGAATATTTTTGGACTGAGTAGACTCAAGTGCACTTTCCAACAGCGTTGTGTCCTTTTACAGGAGGCAGAAAGTTTTCTCCAGAAGCTGCACTAGCACTCCTCTGGCATGGCCAGTGCTGGTGGAAAGCAGGCCTTCCTTGCAGGCACTGCACTTCTGACCCACTGCCTGATGTTCTTGCTGTGTTCTTGTGCCATGGCTTTGGACACTTTCAATTCTGTGTCTTGACCACGTGCCCCAGTTGTTCTATTCCAAATATTTGTACTGTCGTACCGTCTAAGGGAGGTCTTAGGAGCTGGGAAGTATTGCTGCTGCCACCCTGAGTGGGAGGGCCTCAGGCACATGTACCATGAGGGTCCGTGCAGGATCTCATCCAGTCAGGTTGAGGATGAAGTGCTGTCAGAGTTATGTTCAGACTTTCTCCTGGCATCAGAAGACCACATGGTGGTCCTGGCTGCTTCAGCATGCCTCAGCCTGTGTGGTGCCTTCTGTTGGCACTGAGCTGTTCCCCACACTTCTGCTTTGTCCACCTGCACTTTGGTTTCTGCACGTTGTCCTGAGTCATGGGTGCTGAATGCCCTTCTCCATCTCTGCCTGGTGAAGTGCTCAGCCCCACAGTGCCACAGCCCGTGTTGGTCAGTGCTGAGTGTCACCAGCACTCTGCCACAGAGCAGGCACCTGTCTGCAGCATGCTGGAGTGTCAGGGTCACTCTCCTCCCTTCTTCCACCTAAACTAATGATGTTTTCTCCTTGGGTCCTAAATGATGTTTTGTCTGATGCTGGTGATGTCTTGGCTCAACAAAGTCTTGGTGCTGAGTTGTGGATGATTCTGACTACAAAGATAATTCTCTTTGTTTTGACTTGCTGCCTCTACTGATGCCTCTGTGTTTTTGTCTGTAGTGCCTCTGTGGGTTTGACTGTCATGAGCGTTTGGTTTTTTTCCTGTTGACAGAACTAACAGGCACTTTCATGGGTTTTGTGCTCTAAGATACAGCTTAACAATGTTTTCAGCTATGCTATGGCATAGGAGGTGGCAATTCTCTGCTGAGAAACTTGCATGTGGTGCCACTTGTTCAGCTTTGGGAATTGCAGCTTTGGTGTGGGGCAGTCCTTCTGCAGTGATGACAGGTACTTTCTTAGCTGGGAGGTAACCACTACACAGAACTCCCCTGCACTGCTTCAGCTGAGAAGAGCCTGCTGGAGAAACTGCTGCTTGTGCTGCTTTCCATTGGCAAAGCTTATCACAGTGTGTGTGCTGTAGACTGGGGGATAGCCCATCAGTTCACAGGTTCAGGATCAGAGATCTTGATAAAACCATCTCTCATCAGCCTTTTGCAACTCTGTGTGGTCCACAAGAGCAGGGTCTTTATCTGTAAAACACACTTGTGGGAAGTTTTTAACAGCATGGCTCCAAGGCAGGAGTCAGCTGGATCTCCTGCATCATGCAAGAGTTGTCTTGGTGCTGCTGCTCTCCTGTCTCACATCATCCCTCTGTGACTTTCCCTGAAGGGGTTGATCCTGATGTCCATCCATGACTCCATTCTGTGACAGGAGGTGAGCCTGGGAAGCCCTCTGTCATCTCTTCTTCCTCTGGCAGTGCTGCTGATGGACAGCTGCACTGTCAGGAGTTTGGAGGGGATGCCAGGCCAGGGTCACCACCACTCACCTGCCTGCATTGTTCTCCTCCCTCAGGGACCCTTCCAGGATTCTGCATGAGAGGACCTGAGGGCGTAGGAGACTCACCACTGTTTTGCAGACCATAAGCTGAACAGGGATGGAAAAAACAAATAGTTAAGGAATATTGCAAAGGAAAACTTGGTGGCCTTGGGCAGCAAGGCGAAGTGCAGGGTGAAAGGCTTGTTGTTTACATGAGCTTAATCAGGGGTTACTGATAATAAGCTTTCCTTTCTAAATGGAGAGGAAGTCCATCCTTGGTAACAGAGGATGTAGCAGCAGGATTTGATATGAAGACCTAAGCTGATCAGAAGGAAAATTGTTGCAAAAGTCCAGAGTACAGAAACAGTATAGAAAACGAGTCATGGCTGTTCCTAAGCTCTGTTTAGCTCCTGCTCTTCTGAGTTGGCAAGTCCCAGCAAAAAATGGTTGTTTTCTTTTTTTAAAGCTATACTTCTGGTCTTTAAATCATGTGTTTCCCAAGAAGAAACCCACTATTCTTGAGACTGTGGCTACTGTGGAAACAAAAGTGGGTTTACTGCTGTATTTGGGATGGGATGTGTGGACAGTGCTGCGTGTGTGAGTCCAGGTTCTGCTGTCATTGCTGAGGCTGTCTTGTATTCCATCATGCTAGATGTGAAGCTGCAGAGCAAAAGCAGAAGGTGCCACTGGGAACTCTGAAGAAAGACTTGAAATCATATGAGGAAAAACAGAAGCAACTCACAGTGAAAATCCGCCAGCAGCAGGAAAAGCTGGAAGCTCTGCAGGTGAATCTGGAGGCCTCTAGCTAGGCACAGCAGGTTTGAGATGCAAATGGCTAATGCTGAGTAATGTCTTTCTCAGCCTCTGATGCCACCACTGCTCCTTCATGGGGCTGAGGTTATCCTAATAACAGAAAACAAGCACTTCTGCTTGCCTTTCATTCTTTGCTGGGAAAATGGGAGTGATTGCTGGTGTTCGGGTGAAGGGATGTCTCTTGAAGGACACAGAATGCACCTCCTAGCTGTTTTAAACTGCAGGCCCTGACAACTTTTAACAGTGGCCTTTATCTTGTTTGCCTTTTTTTTTTTTTTTTTAATAGAAAACCACTCCTGTTCGATCTCAAGCTGACTTAAAGAAGCTGCCTCTGGAAGCAACCACCCGGCCTGCACGGGAGGTAAATGGGCTACCACTGTAGGCTTTGTGCTCTTCTGTGTTATCCTGAGCTGTTCTGAGCAGCTCTTTCCATCCTTTCTCTCTCTGTACCCTCATTTGTTTCAGAACATCCAATCACAGACCCGACCTCAGCGCCCACGATCTCCTCCTTTACCTGATGTTATCAAGAATGCTCCCAGCAGACCACCACCACCACCACCTACACCTCTTCCCAAGTCCGTCAGTCAGCTGAAAAAGAGTTCTTCAGATTGCCTGAGTGGCAGCACTCCCAAAGTGGGGAGCGTTCTGTCCAAGGAGGAGGCCAGCACTTCCAGGACACACCACGCTGCGGCAGCCAGCAGGTGTAACAGCGCTTCAGCAGCTCTTCCCAAACCAGCTGCAGCCACAAAGCCACCCTCTGCTGGCTTCCAGAACCTCAAAAGCTCATGTGAGACACCTAGTCCAAAAGCTGCCAAGGTGCCAGCACTAAAGAAATCTGCCACTGTCAAATGCCCACAGGTGAGACTCAATGGAATGAAACCTGTCGGCTCCTTACCTACTGTTCTGTGTAGCCTGGCTTGCCCTGTGGCACGGGGTTTGCACTCTAGTCCCTGTGCGGGACAAGACAACTTCTACTTTACTTTTGGGTTCAGATGCCATTCTACATCCCTTGTAGAAGACTTGTTTCATCTCTTTCCTGTTAGACCAGACTGTCTCCCCAGGAAGAAAAGGAATGTGAAGAGGCAGGGTGAGCATTTGCATGGTCACGTAGTGCCTGCTGAAACCTTCTGGAAAGACCAGTTAACTCTCAAATGAAACAGTGGGTGCTGAGCTGTGTTGGTGTTTTTTTTAAACTTGGCTGAAGGTTGGTTTTAGTTGGTAGCATGCTGGAATTATAGCTGGAGCTTGTTTGCTTCCTACAGGCCTCCACCACTCGGAAGAGAACCTTGAACACTACAGGGTATGGGTCTGAGGAGCGGGAGCACAAGAAGGAGAAGACAAAACGGGGCAAATATTTGGGAGTGAAAGAAGAGAGGGATTCCAGTGAGGTGGTGGTAGAGGTGAGAGTGCACTGGTTTCTGCAGCAGAAGATAAATGTTTTTTAGTCTTGGTGGAAGGCAGCTAATCTGAGCTCTCTCTGCCCACAGCTCACAGACAGCACTGAGGAAGAAGACCTGGCAGAACTGAAGAAAGCTCAGAAAGGTGAGAAATTAACCCTGAAATGCCTCCAGTATCTAACACAGTGGAAAAGAACTGTTGCAGAACTAGACTCACTGGTTAAACATGTGATTTCATTAATTAGCTTTTTAAAATAAGAATTAGTGTAAATTTGAGTCCCAAACCCTGAGATGACTCTAACTTGCATGAAACATTTGGCCAGGAATCTCTTGATTAGACAAGAGGCAGTTGTGGGATGGGAACATCTGTGATCTGAGGGCTGGATAACTTTAATGAGTGTGATGCTTGGCTGTGTGGTGTAGCCTGATGCTGTGCTCCCCCTTCCTAACTGGGTGGATTGTGGAGCCACATTAGCTGGAAGATGCTGAGGACTGTGTGTAGACCGGCTGCACTGCTGTGGGACAAGAGGGGCCAAGAGATCCCCTGGAAAGATGGTAGCCAGGATGGTATTGCAATTTCTGCCAGAGCAGGGCGATTTCTCAGCTTGTTCCTAAGGAGCTGTCTGAAAAGTGTCCCACTAGGAACATGGGGCAAATTGTCCTAGTGGCCAAAAAGAGCCTGGAAAGCCCACATCAAACAGCCCAGAGTACAGAAGAAGGCTTCTGTCTAAAAATGCCATAAAGTTTCCTTGTTTCTTAATGTTTCTTAGTTGCTGGACTGTGTGACAGTGCTGGTTTTATGGCTTGCATACTGTTTGAAGGAGTTACCATGGGTTTAGGTTTGCTCCCTGATGAGCATGCCTGCCTTCCCCAGACCTAGTGCAGAATGCGCTCTCCAGCATCTGTTTGCAAACACCTTTGCTGCTGTCCTCCCTGCAGATAAAGGGCTGCATGTGGAAGTGCGTGTGAACAAGGAGTGGTTCACAGGCCGTGTCACAGCTGTGGAAGTGGGCAAGCACGTGGTACGCTGGAAGGTGAAGTTTGATTATGTTCCTACAGACACCACACCACGGGATCGCTGGTAACTATCTCTAGCTACTGCATTTTGGAGGCTTGTTTTGCTTTCTGAGGGAGGACCCGTCCTGTTCCCGTAGATGCTGCAGGCAGAGGTGTTGCTGTCCTGCCAGGGAGTGTATGTGTCCCCTGGGCTGTCCAGCTCCCCCATGAGAAATGACCTCACACAGTTTGCCCATCGCTCTGATGTGATGTTCCTGAGGAGGCAGCTGTTGTGTAATCTAGAGGTCTTGGAGTGACAGCCGGGTACAGAATGTACCCAGGAGTAGATGAAGATGTTAACAGTGTTCTACAGCCATTGCAGAAAGAGGTCTGACTTTCCCTTTTTGTTTGTTTGGGTTTTTTCAGGGTAGAGAAGGGCAGTGAGGATGTGAGGTTGATGAAGCCTCCCTCTCCTGAATACCAGGCTCCAGATACACAGCAGGAAGAGGAGATTGTCGTGGCTGAACCTTCTACCTCAGACTGTGTCAGAATTGAGCCAGACACCACAGGTCCCAGCAGCAGCCAAGAAACAGTAGACTTACTAGTCCAGATCCTTCGGTGGGTTCACTGCAGTGCTTGTGAGCTGTTGCAGTCTGATTGCTTTAGCATTTTAAGCTCCCAGTTCTGGCTTTGTGTTTTTGTTTCCTGCACAGAAACTGTTTGCGGTACTTCTTACCTCCAAATTTTCCTATCTCCAAGACGGAGCTGAGTTCCATGAGCCCAGAAGGGTTGTTGGTGTTTCCCTTGGTGAGTCGAGTATTTCTAGAAGAGTAAGTTTGGGGGGTTGCCCACACACATTGCATTCCTCTGGCAAGCGTGCATCCTGTTGGTACAAGATCACACTCTTCAAAACATCTTCAGACATCCTCTGAAACATGCCTTAGGTCTTTTGACTGTTGTTTTCTGAGGATTTTTTAAATTACCATACGTCTGTGTGGGAAAGCTGTTGGCTGCTGCTCTCCTAACTTGTCCATTACTTCTGTGCTTTTAAAAAAAGAGAGACCAGGTTAGAGGTCTGTAGTAAGAGGACATAGGTACCTGTTTGTTTTGCCCCCAGCCTTATAAATCTAACTTACGTGGAGGCAGTCTTAAAAATGGGAGAGAACCAGGAAGCCACCCCTCCTCACAGCTCTTCAGGTGTGTATGCTGCCTACCCCTGGGGCAGCTCTACAGCTTAAAGCTTCTGCTATGGCCTCCATTTCTTTGGCAAGGAACAGATGGGTCTGAGCCTGCACCAGGACCTGTGTGCTGGTGTTGGAAGGTTCAACAGAAGCTGAAATGCAGAGAAATGGTGCTGGCCTCTCTGAGTTCTCTCTCTTCTCTGACATACCAGAAAGGCAGACCTTTCTAGGAGGCATCTGTAGGTAACAAAAGTCACCTACAGATGACCAAATGACAAATGCCAGTGCTTGTTTGGTAGTCTTCAAAGCACTCTACTCGCTCACTGGTGCTATACATATTAATATGCAGTCTCTTGTCTCTTCCTCTTTTCTCTCTGTCACTGGTCCTGCTGCTTACGTTGGACATGTTGGTCTTGCCTGGAATTCCCTGCAAGTGTAGCTGTGCCTACCTCTCACACATAAGCTGTGCTGCCAGGGTGGTTTATGTTAAGGAATCTCACTGTGTACAGGGGCAGTCAGATCTTTCTACAGTGTAACTGTGGTTTTACACTTTTAAAACATGCTGCATCCTTCATCTGAATTCAGGAAGCTTTTCTGGCAGTTCTGGCCTTTGAGGAATGTGAAAACTCGTGTGACTTTTGTGCCCCCATAGGCAAATCAGGAATGTCAGAGTGAGGGTGGCAGTGGCCGTGGGCAGGGACAGGGTGTTAGGCTGGTGGCGGTCGGTCACGGGGCACCAGTAACTGGACTCATCTGCAGCCTGCAGGTGCTGGGCTTTGCCTGGTGCTTCATGTCATCTCTTCTGTTTTGTCTGCTACAGAAAGAATATTTCAAACAGTACGAGGTAGGTCTGCAGAACCTGTGCAATTCCTATCAGACACGTGCTGACGCCAGGGCCAAAGCCTGTGAGGAAAGCCTCCGCACCTCAGAGAGGAAGCTGAAGGAAACGGAGGAGAAACTGCAGAAGCTGAGGACCAACATCGTTGCTCTTCTGCAGAAGGTGCAAGAGGTGGGTGAGGAGGGGGTGAGAAACCAGAGTAACAGCCTTCCCCAAACCCAGGCCCCTCCAGGCACTTGAGATGTCCTGGCCCAGCATTATTGGAGCAGCAGCTCTTTATTGAGTGCAGCTAGGGCTTAGACCATCAGAAGCAGTTGAGTGGGCAGCTGCTGTCACTGCCCACCCTTTGGGATCCAGGCCTTGAGAGTCCTGTTGAGTGGTCATTTTCACAGAGGGATTTTTCATGGCATGCACATCGTGCACAGCTGCTATTTGTTTTCTGCTTCCTGCTGTGAAACTTGGGACTGCAGCAGAATTTCCCTGGGTATAGGCAGTGTTTTGCAGGGAATTTCTGCCCCGTTCTTGGGCAGAACCCCACTTATAGAAATGCAAACATTTAAACAAATAATACTTAATAGAAAAAATTATTGTGGAATCTATTCATTATACTATTAAACATCACAATAGCAAATATGTTTTTAAATAAAAGCTTTATGTAAATAAATGTGAAATTAAAAAAAAGCTACTTTAAATAAAATGAAAATCACCAATGGAAAAGCTACTGAAAGCAGGTGGGAAGAGTTGCTCCCTATTAGGAAAATGTGTGTTGAAGTGAAAAAAAAAAACCACCAAACAACCAAACCAAAACCCAACCTAACCTAACACAGGTTAGCACAGTAAAAGTATCTCCTGAGTGCACTGTTTGAGCATCAATTGGCAGCTGGTTTCCAGGCGTTGTCCGTCAGGCTCTGACAAAGAAAGCTGGGGATGCTTTCACAGCTGACCAGGACAGATGATGCTGAGCTGAGCTGTCTTGTCCATGTCTTGTAGGCACTGTTCTTCAAGATTCACTTTTCACTGGTGTTTCTTGTGCCTTTGGTTGCAGGACATAGATATTAATACAGATGATGAACTGGATGCATATATCGAAGACTTGATCACAAAAGGAGATTGAGCAGCTCCAGTACAAGCCCTAGAGAAGTGCAGAGGACCTGGCTGCTGCAATGTGAGATGTGGATTCCTGCAGTGGAGGACTATGGCACCTGATGAGAGAGGGTTTTAGACCATATTTATGTTGTGTTGTTGTTGTACAACTTGTTCTTGTGACTTCACATGAACAAGACATTTATGCTGTTGGCAGGAAATTTTTTAATGTTGCAGTTCTCCAAATATCTTCCCTTTTTTTTTAAATATTTATTTTTAAAAGAAATAGATAATTTACCTGATACAATGGAAGGGTTGCTGTGTGCTTTTAGTGAGGTAAAAGTGTGAAGTACCCTTTTTGCATCTGGGGTGTATTCATATGCTAAACCTGGAAGACCAGAACATCCTGCCTAGCAGGTTGTCTCAAGAAAGAGCAGCAACTTAAAAATAAGCCCTGAGTCCTTGAGTTTCAGAAGAGGAGGTTGGGACTTAAGACTTCAAAGATACTGAACTTGGGCTAGAGAAAGCCAGGTCAGGACACGGTGGAGATCAAAACACAGTCCCTGTGTGAGCATGAGTGGAGTGGGTGAAATCTTGGTGGTTCTTCAAGGGGTGAGGATAGAGGATTTGCACTTGCCAGTGCAGTGAGGTTCCCAAATATGAGGTGTCTATAAGTAAGTGGAGTTGTTATGATGCTAACAGTCAGAGGCTGAGGATCCTTTTAGATCCTAGGTTTTAGATCCTAGGTTGCTCACAGTGAGGAGAAAGCTGGAGTTGACATTCTTTTCTAGCAGTTACCTTATTGCACACTTTTGCTGCCATTTCTTTGAGATACAATTGCAACAGCAGAAAAACCTGACCAGCTGAAAACAAAGTCACCCTCTGTTCCATTGTTAATCCCTCAAGCTTGCATTGCTTTGTTCAATCTGCTCTTCCAGGTAATTTTACTAGAGTGCTGGAATTTGGAGCCTGTGGAGCCCTCTATCACTGAGTCATTTCTGGCCCTGGGACAGCAGCAAGTACAATGCCTTTCTCTCATCCTGTTTTGCCAATGACCAGGCTTAACAAAAATGATAGCACCAGCAGGAAGATGAACCAACCAATACACAGACTATATTGTAGACAAGAAGGACATTCCATGAATGATCGCTGGGGGTACAAACAGATCAGTCAGCTGGTACATAATCGATGCCACCCCCAACGATCCCACAAAGGATGTAACTCGGCCCACAGCAGGTGGTACAAACAGAGACCCGAGGTTGCCCACAGTTGGCATGGGAAACAGCCAGACCAGCAAGCTGAACACATAAGATAAAGGTGCCCAAATAGGGACTCTCACCCGATAGGCCCACGTTCGTAAAGGTCTTGAGCAGACTGGGGCCCAGCTCCAGGAGAGTCAGGAGATCTTCCCTAAACCAGGAAGCTCTGTGGGGTGCACTCCACAGACAGACACTCCTGACTCCCTGCAAGTGGTCCCAGCTTTTATCCCCAAGCAGACACCTGACCTTTGTCAACTCACTGCGGGACCCCTGGGGCTCATTTCCCTTCTGGCTCTCCCTGCAGGGCCGGCCGCACCCTGGGGGGAAGCTATAAGGCAAACTCACCACCTCTGTATGAAGGGCTGTGGCAATCACCCATATGTCAACCTTAATTCGGGCCTTGGGTTCCCCTGACATATGGGTGAACCACAGTCCTCA